GGGGGCGGGGGGAGTGAGCGAGCGGCTGTGTGGTGCTCAGTTGCTGACTGAGGTTAAACCACGACAAATACATAATGCGATACAATTACATGAAGAGAAAAAAAAACAAGCCTAAACAGTGAGGTAGCTGCCCCAGAATTACCTGAACCGCCATGTGAACTCAGAGAATTCTGCCAATGAGTAATAAAGGAGAGAACTAAGTTCCTGAAAGTCATTGCACCATGACAAGCCAGTCCTTGGAAGGAAGGAAGGTATCTGTATTATTACACAGATGTTGCTCCTTTAACATCTCATCTATCTGTGCAAAACAAACAATTCCAACTGACAGTGCAAAGCAGAGACTGTTTTTCTCTTGAGTTGACAGACTTCAAGACTTAATGACAAGGGGAGAGAATTCTAAAGCAGCAAAGGATGCAAACTGTTCATTTTTAACACCAGGAACCAGCATCTCCCAGACTTTGTTTCAAGTGAAAGGGCATAACAAGATCAGCTACTTCTTTTTCATTTGGACAGCAGAGAAAGACTCAACCATATTTTCAGGACTCTCTCCTATCTGTATCATCACAGCTTTGTCTACCCTCCATTTCTGACTTTAAAAGAAGAGTGGGGTGGAACATACAAAGGCCATTCTTCTACCAGAAGATTCCTTCCGGACAGATCAAAAGCGTCACCATCTCCCTCGGACACTCACTGCCCTGCATGGCCGAGCATCGTCTGTTCTGTGCAGGAATTACAAGATTGTTCTACAGCCTCAGTTTGACTCAGACATATCCCTCAGAAGAGCTGCATTGCACTCTTGTAAACGATCACATTTTTCAGGTGTTCAAGATGCTGTGGTTTCCTATCATTTCCACAGTGGGGTGGCGATTCACCATCACTCCCAGTACGAGCTCTAGTATCTGATTCTAGAAATGTAACCTTTCTTAAGCTCATACGCAAACGATGATTCCAATTTCCATTTTGTAAAAGCAGAAAGTTATTGAAAACTGCTACAGAATCATGGAAAATAGGAACTCCCTCCAGCCAGAAGATAGAATTAACTACAGTCAATCCTGGACTACAGTCAGTCTTGGCTGACATTTGTCCAATGTGTTCTCAGAGACCCCCAAAGTCAAAGGCTTCACACATTTCCACATGTAAAATATTCCAGTATTCTATGCTGGCAACCTCAGTTTGTGTACCTCCCATTTACTTCTATTTCCTACCAATCATGGCAAGGGAGCACATAGATCCCTTCCTTTTTGTAACCATCTTTCACGGCTTTTGAAAATGGCTCTTTATGGTCCCTTCTCTTCAGGCAAACTATTTCTTCAACCTTTCTCTGCAGTTATTCTAGAGCTTTGAACATCTGGCTACCCTCTTCTCAGCTCATGGGCATTCCTTGAATAGGCTCTGCTATCTTTAACAGTTACACATATGTAACGTCCTTTGTTTGCTACATGAAAGTCAAGGTACTTGGCATGTTGCAGCTTAAGACCTTAAATGCCTAAAAGAATTTAGAAATTGGCCTCCTCTCCAGAGCACTTTCAAAATGAAGATAGTAAGTTAGGAAGGTAACACAGAATTAAGAATCCATTTCAGATGAGGCAATTCAGGAGAACCTAACAGGAAACAAATGCCTAGATTTGGGTGTTTCCGTGGGGAATGGTAAGGCTTCAGCCTCATGGCATGCCTTCAAAGAGCACTAGTTCTATGATGTTTACACCGCTCCTCGGGACGCAACCCTACAAGCAGGAAATCTGCAGTCAGCACACCGCACAAAGCATGACAGCAGACACACAGAAGTGCAATGTGTTTTGCAATTGCAGGATGCTTTTTCCTACATATGGGCACCTGCTTTATGCCAAGTATCTTTGTTGTGTGCAAGTATCTTTATTAAAAAATAAAAGCTCAAGATAGACAGTCAATAAGCAGTATAAGAAACAGTTCAAAATTCTTCTCTGTGCATTATGTCATGGTAACTGCAATGAAATGTGTTAAATGCTGCCCAAGATGACAAAACAAAGGATGAAACAACATCTTGAGTTGCAAATTAGACTCTCCTTCCTTTAATCAGTGTTAAATATACACTTGTACCTTCTGGAGAGAAAATATTTTAACCTGAAGAATAACTTACAGGTATAAAACTATTTAAAAGACATCCTCCCTTTCAGGGACATGCATTTTTTTCCAAGGTATAATCAACTATTTAATCCATCCTCCCTTTCAGGGACATGCATTTTTTTCCATTAGTCTTTCCATCTACAAATACAAAGTCAAAAATTTGACAGGATTATAATTTTCTGATAGTATCTTTTCTTTCACTCTTAAACACCTATCACATTTGAAAAACTTACAGGCCTATTGTATGTTATTAAACAAAGAAGTTCACGACAAAAGAGTTCTGAACATGAAAACCATAAGGACATTGGCTTTTTTAATTTTAAGGAAAAAATACAAAAAATTCACCTGAGAAATTATCCCTTACAATGTAATGTTTATTTTACCAAGTAAATGGCATTAGCAGGATTTACATCTCTCTCTTCTTAATTAGGCAAAGCTAACAAAGTTACCACACCAATTGAAGAGCCAGCATGACAAGCTGTTGCCAGAAGCTGAGTAATTTACTCCAGTGCTTCAGTGGCAGGAGACTGCTGGAACTGAGAGGATTGGCAGGAAAAAGCATGCAGCACACTCCAGGATGAAAACAGCAGGGAAGCCCCAGAGCGCACCTGGAATGACACAGTAGTAAAACCACCACATGGCAGTAGCTATTTCATCTCTCCAGAACTGTACGCATTTGGATACACAGCCAAAAACTGCAGATCAACAGAATGCAAACCACAGACTCAACCTACCTCTACCCAGTGAAAGGTGGAAAAGCTGTGACCCGGAGATAGCCTTTCTGCTTTAGCAAGGAAAGAATGAATACAGGTTTGTTGCAAGTAAACATGAGCTCTATTCAGTACCTTGACACTGGTTCACAAGTACTCCTGGGTCTGTACCATGTATTATAGTCGTAACTCACTAGCTGCTATAGCGCCCTTGTCTTCCCTGCACAGCAGGACTGGAACAAGCTTGGACACACACGCTTATATGAAAGCTATTATCCCTCTCCAAAATACTGAAGAAGAAAGCTTACTTCATTGACCAAAAGCACAAGCAGAAGCAGGAGGAGTGAGTTGTCAGGCTTCCACTTTCTTCCAATCCAAAGCCTAATGTTACACTAACACTTCACTTGCAATTATGCTACTGCAAATTTGATAGAACAGTTGGTATTTATACATACTTCTGCTTACACTTAGAGAAAAGAGCTGTGATTCTCTGAGATCTCTGTTCTGTGAGCCCATGTTAAACAGAAAACTATGAATACTCCCATTTCTATCTACTCGTAAGAAAGCAGGGATAGCTGTAATTTTCTAAAATCTAGTCAAAACTTTTACATGGAGAACACACGAATTGGGGCATCAAAACTAGAATATTTTTTTTTTCACAGGAAAGACATCCCTGTGGCATACACCTTCGTGTTCTTAAAAAAGAAAAAAAAAGAAAAAAAAAGCAGATAACATTCCCTGTCATAATTGCATGCAGTGGTTAGTTCACAGAAAACCCAACTGTTATTGGAAGATCTCCGATGTGGATAGTTTCTCCTTTCATTCATTTAGTATTACACTGTTACCCAATACCTCCTACACGTAAAGCAGGGGGGTCACATGGGTTCTGTGTAATAGAAAGATTCCACTCCCAAGAGCAACCTGTCACATTTCATAGGGACGTATCAGTCTCCAGTCAGGCACATTTGAGGTACTCATAACTCTGGTGTTTAGAAGTTGAATATTCACAAGGTCTCCTCTAAAAAAAAGAGGAACTTCTGTGGGATTTTTCCATCCTATCCCTCTCTTAAGCTTGAGAAGTGAACAGTCCCAAGCTTTTGACGATCCCACGGAAGTCCAAGCCACCTGGCCACTGTTTACATTTAAATAGCCAACTGCCCGTAAGTTTACCGCACCATTTCTTCTCTATTCCCTTTGTGCAGCTTTTCTTTCAGCCTCCCTTCTCTTCAGTTGCCCCATCCTGCCTTTAATCTTTTCCTTTAACTACCTGGAAAACGCATGATAAAGGTGAAAAAACTACCTGTTAAGCAAAAAAAGGGACAGGTCTCCTTAGGAAACAGGTGAGAAGTTATGAAAGGAACGGATCTTGATGCCTTTGGGAAATAGGAAATTACAAACTGGCAGTTTCAAGGATAGCAGGCATGCTCTATTAGCAGTCATGTGGTCAGTAGATCTGAATGACATCGTCCCATTCGTTGACAGGCCAGACGCCATTGTACTGCACGTTGGATGGTGAGCTCTTCCAGTCCCACATCTTCACAGGAACCTTCCAGTCTGGGCCATAGTTGGCTTCAACATACTGACGGGTTTCACAGGGCACGTGTACCTTGAGTTCTACAAATTCAGTCCAACACAGAGTGAACTTTGGAAAGAGATACCTGTGTCATAACAAAAGAACATGGTCACCAGCAGAAGACTGAAATACAGCTCTAAATAAGTTCATGGAGAAAGCAAGCAACTGCAGCGAGTGGCCATGTTACCTTTATAATATTTTTTTTCTTATTTCACAGCTTCCCATCTATGAAATATTATTTACATACTGGACAGGGGTGGTGTTAACCAGTTACCGCTGATAACATTTGCCACATGTTCTTAGGAAGGAGCATTTCTAATTCTTTTTCTGCTTGTTCCCATATCATTCTGCCACCTATAGGAAATCACTTAGTCCCTGTCTCTACTTTTCCACTTACAAAATGGATTTAACAGTTACCTCATTTAGAAGGGTGTCAAGAGGATGATACATGTTATTTGGTAGGGTAGATTTTGAGAAAAGCAGCATTAAATACTGTATTATAAGTCAGGCCTTTTTTAAAAAACAAGTTTTTACCTTTCTTCAATCTTACCAAACAAAGCATGCGATTCCCCTTCAGTACCCGTGTTTAAACATGGTGCCAGACTTGGAGCAGCTGCAAAGAATTAAGATACAGCTGCCACCCTGTACTTTCTGAAACCGTCTCGGTCCATTTAAATTTAAAAAATAATTTATTCTACCACACTGACCTTGTTCTGTACCTGTTCTTTCCTGTAGAAGGGCCAACATAAGCCCTACCTATAACTATGCTTACACTAGTGAAGTTCACAGGTAAATTTCACAGTGTGATCAGAATGACATCCTATAGGAGCCCAGTGTCAGAGTCAATGTGTTAAACAAGTAAATACCAAAGATTATGTCCTATTCCTGCAGAGCATCACTGCCACTTCTGAAGCTGTGAATTCTTCCACAGAGAAAAAGTAATCTTAAAATTCCTTTTCACAGGTCAAAATGAAACCATAAGCACTTAGACCTTTTGAAAAAGAAGGTTAAGATTTGTGCGTTTGCATGAATTATGCACGTGTTCCTCTAAGCATAAAGCTAATTTTATTTCTAAGTGCCGAGCAAACAGTTTCAGAAAATAAAACAACCTTGCTTTTATGCCTTAAATGGAAGGAGAGAAAAAAGTGATCAAGCACTTTTGGATATATATCCAGAGACCACTGATTTATCCAAAAAACAAAAAAATGCCAGCTACCAAGGGGAAAACAAAGTAAACAAACTTTATTAGTGGATCTATAATCATCAAATAGCTGTTTAGCTGTTATTAACCCAGGAAATCATTCATCTACCAGAACTGCAGTGGGTGTGCATATGCAAAAGCTATCAGCAAACCACTGAAATAATATATCCTCCAGAGAGTGAACTCCGAATAATAATTCTAAGGAGAACCAATAGATAATTTAAATAAACTAATCTGCAAATTAAAAAGTCAGTTGGAAATTTCACCAAAATAATTATTTAACTATTATTAAAATCAAATGTTTACATTCAGTGACGAAAAATGTAGCTTTCAGTGATGCTTCACACTACTGGAATCCTTGCTCATCGTTTGCTCATTCCAAGTGGCCAGGATAAGGCTAGGTACTCTTCCAATTTCAGTCTCATCAATCTTTGGACATAAACTGAAAAGATTTTACACTTACACAAAGTCCTCTATGTTAAGAACCTACAGAATTAACTCGTATTAAGGATTAAAGCATACAGTATAGATTTGATTCCCAGATTCACTTTTTGTAAATACTTATTCTCTGCTGAAGAATGCAACTGTCCAGCATTAATTCCGTAAACAAATAGGGGGTCTCAACTGCTGTAACTTCAAGACAAAATAAGGAGGAGATACATGCTTGCTTATATCTGCACTGTTCAGGAAGTATTTGTGTACATGAAAATGCAAACCATACAGCCAGACTTGTAAGGTTTAGAAACCAGCTCTCCCAAGGAAACAGAGACTAAAAATGACTAATGAAAAATATTTTCTAGAATAAATAAGAAATACTTTCATTCTTCATACTTTTATTTAGCAAGATATATAGAAAGTATGCCTATGCAAATATTTAGCTTTCTGAAGAAAATGTCTTTTACCCTTCATTTTTAAAAACATAAATATCTTGGAATAGAACTCCTGCCCTTATCTTTGATGATCTAGTAGCAAACAATAGCTCTTCTGATACCACATAAACAGCTGGTGAGATTCCTTTAAAATTGTTAAAGTGGATTTCGGATTGGGTATGATCAAACAATCACTTGCCTTTTGGCTGACCTCCTCACTTTACCTTCCCCCAAAATTTTGAAAGGACTGAAGACTAAGCAAAATTGAGGGTCATTCTGGCGTTGCAGGCATTCAGATCAAGCACGCTAAATCATCACATCTCACAACTAAAAAGCCATGATCTTATCTTTCTGAGAAGGTATTTGGAATAATACATATCTGCAATTATTTGGCTACGCATTCTGAACAGCCATGTTCTGTCAGGGATTGGGGCCTTCATAATGGTAAACAAGCAGTTTTCTTGCTCTTTTTCTGTATGGATTAAGTACAGTAAAATACGCCTATAAAACACCAGTTCAGAATTAGTGGCTTCCTTACACTACTATGTCTAAGCAAATTAGTTCTTATTGAACTAGAAAGCCATGTTTGTAAACTTTGAAAAAAAATTACCACCAAAAATAAGTACTAGTCTACAAGAAAAGGAAAGAGTTATGAAAGCTGGAGTTCCAAAAGAGCTGTGATATCCTAGGATACAGGAGCTGGAACATAGCACAGGTTCACATCTACCTTCTATTCTCATGCATTGGACCAGTCATATCAAAGGGGGAAAAAAAAACCCCAGCTCTCAAGTACCCAAGGTCTGATGCTACAATGGAATTTTGAAAGAGCATGTCAACTCCACTGGCATGGAAACAGCTACTGCAATTTAGACACAACAGAAGCACAAAGAAAAGGATAGGAATTTATTGTTCAGCTTCCTCCTCAGAACGCATCACACAAAATCCTCCAAAATCTTGTATGGAAAAACAGACATTAAGCCTGCTTTGGAAAACTACAAAATTGTTGCTGTATTCTAAGAAAAACACTCTGCAACATACCACATTTTCTGTGGGAATATTCCAAGAATTCTTCCTTTAGTCTATTTTTAAGTGTGCTTTTTGACTCTGGTCATCAAAATATCTTCCCCAATCTTTGTTTATCATTTCAAAACAAAGATAACTAAGGCAAGGACTCAGACGTTATCACCATCTGGATGACAGTGTTCACTAAGTTCCCATTAGCTAAATATAAGCAAATACAGTTCAGGCAAAATATGAAAGATAATGAAATCCTATAGAAGTCAACAAGGTTTTCAACTAGTCTGCAACTGTCTCTTCCTGAGTTAAGGTTGGTGATGGAAAGAAACAAATCTAGTTATCAAAACCTATGTTCAGTTTGCTGAGTAGATTAGAAAGCTGTTGTACTTATTTGCTGATTTAATACTGGAAGGTATGAAGCAAGTAATGTGGGATCCTACTTAAAACTCCATTTTCAGAACATGAACTACAAGGTCTGCAGTAGTCATCTGCGTTGCTGTCACAACATTACAGTCAATAAAGTATTCCAAATCATTACCACAAAATCCAAAACTATGGGGTTTACTTTGCAAGGACAATTGAGGCTTTCTGCCATAATGCTCCGTCGTCGAGACAAAGGCCTAAGGATTCATTTTTTACTGCAAAATCAGTTTGTGCAACAAACAGTTTTAGAGACTTCTTTCTCACCTTAGCTGTTTATTTAACTCAGAGCTTGTCACAGTCCAGATAAGATCTGCTTGATAGATGACATGCCAGCACTGCTTTCGATTTCACGAGAGAATTGACATTTGACAAGCCCAGCACCTCTCTAGTAAGGCATAGTACTGTTCTCTTTCTACTTCTCTGGTCTCAAAGTGCAAAATCTCTACTGATTCTCCACTGATAACTGCCTTTCCCACAAAGAGCACAGACTTTGCCAGGCAACAACACACAAAATGCCAACACTAAACACTAACTTGTTCAATTTCTTTCCTATTAGAGGTACAAATCCAGTTCATACTTAAATTTCTTGCCCGATTTGGCCTGAGTTCCTCCATTCCATATGTGGTCATCCTCTTCATAGAAGAAAAAAATATCAAGTTTCACATCATCTTCTCCCTGGAAAGAGAGTTCCAAGCTGTCTTCTACCTGCAAGACAAAAATACACACTGTATGTACTCATAAAAATACAAGGCTACTTATGTCAGCAGGTTTCAGAAAACAAGTTTATTTTGGTCAGGTACGCAGAATGACTCCTATCGTAACTGAAGAAAATACACTAATTCTGCAATTTCTTTTTTTTTTTTTTTTGATGCCTTGAGAACCCTGGAAATTTTCTGAACCTCAGTGGGACTACCTTCTCTTTCCTCCCTTTAGCCCCAAAAGCTTCTGCACCATCTCCTTGTCCTCTGCCACAAGCAAAATAATCTCAGTGAATAAACACATCATTAGTAGGTGTCTTCATTTAACACACTTCCTCTATGATAAAACACTCCCTAGGACCAGTAATGATATATCACTTGAACTATGGCTGAACCTTCATATTCCTGTAATTTTGTTTCTTCTCTCTACCATTCTGCAGCCTACATTCTGAAAAAGCTAAATAAAGATCCACATAAGCTAATAATGAACAAAGCCAGTGCCCACCTCAAGCCATCCTTCCCTTTCTGCTAGTTTTACATACAGGGCTACAGATAATCTCAGAGCTACCACCAATCCTCCTGTATGATAAGGCCCATCCAATCTCAAAGACTAAATTCTACCTTAATTCTTAAGTTTCCCTAGCACCACTGACACAGATTAGACCCCTCAAAAACTTACTAAAAACTTCTTCTGAGGTGGAATTCAGACTCCCCAAACAGGGCTGAAGCTATTAAGAAAGGTGTTTTCTCACACACTGTCCAAGAGAACACACAAAAACCAACAAGATTATATGTTTAGGTAAAACCCTAATGAGCAAATGTCTGCCGAGGAGACTTCAGATACCTACTTCTGCATAAGTGATTTGTAGCTGTACCCAAACTTACGAACCTACAGAAAGACGCATGAAGCAAATTGTTGATTATCTATGTACCTTGCCAAATTTGTGCTTCAACGGTAACCCTGCTTTCTGAAAGGCTGGAATGATATCTGCTTTGTAGTCCTTTATAAAGACTCCCAAATCCACATCTTTGCTGTGAGGAATGACATTGCACTGTCTATACCAGCCTGACGGAAAAAAAAAAGGAAAAAAACAAACAAGTTAATTCAGGAACATGAGAAATATATCAATAGAACAAAAGCAACATAAAAATGAACTGCCGTAAGGTCACCAGCCTTATGAATGAGGCCATAAACAAGACTTCTGTCTTTCTCTAGTATGAAATGAACCACATTGAAGAAAACAAATATTACCACACTTATAGCCAGCTCCTTCCTCCAGAAAGCCAGGAATGAGAGAGAAAACACTAACTCTTTCAAAGATAAAATATCTTCAGTTTTCTAATCTAAATGTCTTTAAAGAAAAAAATATTCTTTATCTGGGCCCAAATCTAATCAGCAATGAACAGCTACAGGGCTACAGCTGCGCTTTTAATTTGAAACTATTATTTTAAATAGTATCTGAGATGTTAATCATCTTTCAAGCACCACTGCAAAACAGTAGACAAGAAGTGGGACATCCTTTTGTCTGTTTCATTAAAGCAGCTTTTAATAACTGTTCATTCAGAAAATTATATTCCCTAGGACTAAACAAATACAAGTCGAATGGGCACACACATGAGTTTTTAAAACCTATTTCAATAATAAAACAATATTCACCAGTGATAAGATACTACTTCCATCTTCCACAGAATTGAAAACTTGCAGTACCTACTCTAATAGGCTGACATTTTATTAAAAGCATGTTTTAAAATAAATAAACTATATTTTAAAAGTCAGTGATAAGCACCAAATTGCATGGAAGAAAAATCAGGTGTGAGTCTACATGGACAACAGAAATATGTGCCCATCACTGTGTTTTCCAACTAGCATTTCGGTAAATTCTAAGCCACACAATTTCGGGAATTGCTGATTACTTTCTAAGCAGTGATGAACACAACACAGGTAATTGCTAACAACATGAAATGCTTCACTGGAAATTTCCTCAGCATTCAATCCTCATTCCTCAAGTTTCTAAAAAAAAAAAGCATTTTGTCAGGAGCAAAAAAGCCTATTTCAGTACAGCTAATGCCACATATTACCTTCCAACCCGGTACATTTAGCTGCTAACCTCAGCTGACATCACAAGCAATAGAGGATGAAATGTTTAAAATTTCAGATGAGTTTAAAAATGCAATGTAACACAAATGTTTTACCAAGGCATGTTCCACTGCTCAGCCAGAACTTTACTCCTAAGTTATTCAGTGTCAGGGCAGCCAGATGGAGCAAGGATTTTGCTTTTTTTCTGAACTCCACTGCATCAAGAGAGGCATCATCAGGATACAGCTGGAAGGCAAAGGAAGAATAAGCAAGCTATTGTCAGAAAGCAAACTTGTCACTTCATTTTTCAATGTCCTAAGAAAAAATTACCTTTAAAAATTTACTTAACTAATATCTGGGCAGTATCTGTTTTCACATATACAGCCCAGTCTGAGAACATGCACTAGAATGCCAAGTTAAAATTTAAACTCCGAAACATCAATCTTCAGTTTTTCCAAACTATCAGAATGTAAAGTCACAATAAAATAGAATAAGAATATATGTATTAGACACTGATTCTCAGGATGTGGCAACAACACAGATGAACCCTAGTTCTGCACACACTGAAGCCAATACCCACAGTCCAGGGGGGAAACAGGGACAGAATCAGTTACTTCCAGCACATTAGTTTATTTGGCGCCACCAAGTGCTACAACTGGATGTTGACAACTTCTGCCATATAGTAGAAACAATGTGAACAGAAAATCATGTTCATCTTCCAGGTACAACTGTGGCAAGATCTTCTGTAACGCAAAGCCAAAAACACCACAGCAGTCTGGGCAAACATTACCAAATCAAATACAGGAACAACGCACCACTCAGCTTCATGACTGATTTCATTAAGAGCTCTTGGGCAACAAACAGTTGAAATGAATACTTACTTTTCAAAACAGATGCCAGCTGCTTATTTCAATATTAAAGCTCCAGCAAAGTTCAATATAGCTTCTGAGGCACATTTGCTCTGCCTGTGGTGATTACTGCCTGGAGGTTTTAGAGCTGAAGTGGAGCATGCTTACAATTTCTGTCCTTCACAGGTGAAGTGACAAGACACAGGTACCCTGGGGTAGAGTAACCATCCTGCTAAATGTATGGGGAGCTACGGCCCACTAGACTGAACAAGGATGGTATTCCTTTCCCTAAGAAGTCCCTTCCCCAAGACCTCAAATGTCTGAAGATTGGAACCTCTAGTGTCCTCTTTTTTCCCCTTCCATGAAATCAGAGATGGCTCAAATTCAGTGATCTGATTCTGATTCCACAGTCTTAACTGTGGTAACTCTTGACCACTTTATATCTTGGCCCTTTTCAATTTAAGACAAAATGCTCCCCATATTGCAGCAGAAAGTTTTCTACCATCTGCTAAATCAGGTAGCAATATTCTAAAAATAATGCTCTAAACAGTGGTGAAAACATTAGCTTACATGGTCAAAAAGCAACTAAATAAGTCATTTTGGAATGAATATACCATTTCAAATAAACCAAACTAGGAACGTGGAACTGCAGCACGTGGTTCAAAAGAATATAAAATGAAGTATTACTTAAAACTTTGAGAATTGCCATAAGGAAAATTTTCAACCACAAAGATACACAAGATCTTAGTCTTATTTACATGAAATCCATTTAACAGTAACAATGTGTGAGAACTATGGCCATGTTTGTTACCTCTTCTCAAAGTTTTGGAAAATGGAAAAAAAATGCGCTCACAAGTAAAAAAGACAGACCATGATTTTCAGTTAAAGTTTTAGTTTTATTACCACTTGCTAAACTCTGTGGATTGAGTCTCAAAGGCTGTATTTAGCTTTATGTATGCAAATAGTCACATCTAGGTAAAAAACAATGAACTGTTTGTGGGGTTGGGTCAATCAGTGAAAACATACATTACATCTCAAGAGACACTACCTGATTACCACTAACCTGAAAGAAAGCCCGAGCTTCTCTGTACCTACATTCAAGAAATCTAGAGTGTGACATCTCCTCCAGAAAACTGGATGGATTTTTTGGAATTTGAACTTTTAAGTCATCAATGGAAACAAGCAGAAGTTCTGGCCTGCAGGGAAAGAAAGATGACACATTATCCCATTCAATTCCTTTACAAACCACAAGCCACTTTTTCCTCTAGCTCAGGTTAAAATCTTAATGCATACTACTAGCAGTGATTCCTCTGTCCAAATACACCCAAAACTGGTTATAAAAGAAGAGCAACAAGAGCTTCAACAAATTCCCCATACACTTCCAAATTTTGTTTAAAAAGAAATTTGATGCCTGTAAGCCCATAGTTAAGTTTGTCAGATCACCGATTCCTTTACTGACTTATGACTTGCACTGAATTTGTTCAGAGCTGTTGTTCAGTGCATTTGAAAACTTAAGCTATTTATTTGGTTGTCTGAAGTATGGGATGCACTTAAGAACCAAATTTTACCCTGTACTTTGAGGTTATTTGCATTTAAAATTTAAAAACTGTTCAGCCTTCACAATGAATGAAATGTGGTATTTAACAGCTTACACAATCAATTTCAAATGTTTAGGCACATACCCGGTACAGATTCCATGTTTTAAAAGGAAGAAAGAATGGTGTCATTTTTAAGGAAAAAGTTAAACAGATTTATTTTGACCTGTGAAATGTTTGGCTCTTTTTCTCTGATTTATGACAAATACACACACCCTGCAGGAACACTGTTCTCAAAGTGGCATGTGCTTGGCTCTGAAAAGCGACAAGATTTGCCATGATCTGTATTTCCTGAAATACTGCTATTGAAAGCATTGTAAGAAAAGGCAGACATTTACAGTAACTTTACCAATGTAATGCAAAGTTTAAGCATAAGAATATGGAAAAATAACACCACCAATTCAAGCATTTATGCAAGAAAGGAGTCCCCTCAGCACATTAAGAGCATGAGTTAGATGCAATGGTTGGCACACGTCTTTGTCATACAAATGTCACCTCTCTTTGTTCATGTTCTTTAACACCGATTATTTGGACGCTTACTGAATGGATTTCTGTTGCTTCCCTTTTTCTTTTAATGTTCCATATCTGTATTCAACTTTTGGATACATATCATTATAGAAAGAACACCAAATATGTATCAGCTAGTACTAAATCTCTTGCCACTTCTACTTTACCCCTTGTGTTGACAGCGCAGATGGCTATCAACAGATTTCAAGCTTTTAAATATATTAACAGTAAACTACTGACTTTAGCAGAAGATCCTCTGGTACATTCAACCTCAGTCATGACGACTTCTTCTGTCATCTTTCTGCCTGCTTCGACCTGGCTACACAACAACTTCCTCTAAAATGTAGTTCTTAATTTATAAATGGTGGGAAGCTCTTGTTTTCAGGTAAACAGAATTGGATTTACCTTCATACCTCAATTTACCTGCACTTTGGGGGCTGAACTATTATACATGAGCTAAATTTTACAACCCGACTTTAGGAAAGGGTGCAATTTTATATACAGGAGAAAGACGTTATTTTGGAAGTGCCATTATGGTTTTTTGCCTCCTCTGTTTTGAACTCACTTTTCATATGCTCCAGGGTAGCGACCGAAGTGGAGTTTCCGGAAAGGCACAAACTTTCTGTCCATATGTTGCTTGAGCCTCAGGGGGCCATGCCACAGATAATTACCGCTCCTCTCATAGAAGACCACCAGGTGAATGGCATGAGATGCCAGTTTAAATATGTAGTGCAAGGGAATTTCAATCCCAGACAGGTCATCCATCCCGTCCAAGCGAGGGTCTTTGTTTATAATCTTTAGCCATTGGAACCCCATTTTCTCAGCAGTTCTAAAAAGGCCCACCTAAAAATAAGAGAGAGGGAGAGACAGAAAGAGAGAGAGAGAGAGAAGCTAAAGATTAGAGAAAATTGTCTGCTAAAGCCTTATTATTAACTGACTTTATTCCCAATTTTCATTTTCTAATCAGACAAGCACAAACTACTCAAAAATTTCTAAGACCTTAAAGATCAGCAACCACAAGCAATTCCAACCACTCTATTTCCTTGTCTTAAACTCTGTCCCTCAAACTAGTCAATAAAACAACACATAAATGTTGTAAGCAATGCTTGGACTAGGTTTGCTCCTTGCCATAGCACCCTTCTCTGCACCCTCAAACCGTTCTCTAAAGTTATTCTTGTGCCAAACTTCGCGTTCGTAAGTCCTTGAATAATGATACCACTAATACAAAAACAATTACTGCAAAATCTTCTTTTATTATGTACATAAATATTTGTCTAAATCTCACCAAACACCGAACGTTGCACTAGGTAACAGGCTTTCATATTTCCATAGAAAAAGGGAATGAAATTCTGGCTGATAAGGAAAGAACCAATGAGCATCTGAAGACCCTTTCAATTACCTCCCTGGAAGTGTTTTATACAGGCATATCAGCTTCTCCTCTGGATGCTACAGATATTATCAATGAGCCACAAAGGAATGGGGAGACAGATTTATATTAGTGTGCTGCCACACAACCTTATTCTCAGTTTCTTTAATTCCTTTACAGCTATGGGTAAAACAACTGCCTGATCAGACCCAGAGTGCCACCACTCTTCACTTGAGTGTGACTCCTTCAGTAAAATAGTCACAGACCATTTTAATGTCTCCTGCTTTTTCTTTAATAAAAAAAAAAGCTTTTTGTCACTGTTATCTTTAGTCCGTATAAATTAATCTAATAAATACTTCCAGATGACACTTAATTGATTAAATAATCTTGGATTTCATTTTGTCCTTCATCACATGCTACACCTCTATTTTTAACACATCCATTTAAAAATCTCAGAACACTGAAGAAAAGCAGAGATACCAATACGCTAAGTGACAAAATAAAATGGTGTTAAGTACAAAGATGTACTAAAAGAAATGTAAACCAGCAGACTATGATAAACTTTCTAGCCTTGTCACATCAATACCTGCATTTCCTCCTTGATAGATCTCCAAACTCGAGATTTATTACGACTGTACCTACATCACAGGCTTAAGGTTTTCCTTCTACCTTTCTAACAGACCACTTTCCTTTTTTCTTTTTGGTGTGGCCTCTTACTGCAAGCATTTACAAATATTGCAGACAGCTTCTAAAAACTTTTAGTTATCTGTAAATGACTCTTAATGTATCCAGGCTAGTGCCTGGATACCTTCTACTTTAAAAAAAAAAGTTTCCTCTACCAATACCTTTACAAGATTTCCACACAATGAATCAGAGGCTTTAATACAAACATGAAAGTATTGTCACAAAATCATAGAACAGTTGAATGCATTACAATACACAAATGTGAACTGAAGAAAAGGCACTTACTTCATGTTTCCATGTTTTGTCCAGTAATGCAAATGTAGTAAAGTCTCTTGGAGCACAAAAGTACTTGCATTCTGGAGTAGGACCATCAGGAGAACTTCTGATCTGTTCAATGTCTTTATCAACCAGTCCCAGAATCAAAGGATCGATCAAATATACTGGTATATTGTGACTGGATATTAAGCCTAGGAACTTCCTAACCACATGCTGTTTGACAGAGGATAAAATTAGAAGTTAGAAACACCATCTTTAAGCGCACAAAGGTTAATACATTAAAAGTCTTTGACAGAAGGAAAAAAACCCAACCCACTGACAGAAGGAAATCTTATCTCCCAATACATTTTCTGAGTGTGCACTTTACTTCCATGAACAATTGCGGAAACGGAAATTTTCTCTTTCAGAAGAACAGGCTGCTCTCAGGCTTTCCAGGTCTCTAAGACTAGAGGAAAAACTTTCAGCTTCAATTAGAACTTTCTACAAGCTAAAGCACTCTAACTCTAGCGTGCTAGACTTGAGTAATGGACTCTAGGCTAAATTCTAGATTCTTTCCAGCTCTAGATTGAGTTGGAAAGCACTTGAATAAACTAGAGATTATAGGATCAGATGCGATGCACATGTGGGTGCTGAGGGAGCTGGCTGATGTCATTCTGAGGCTGCTCTGCAACATCTTGAAAGGCCACAGTGGTCAGGAACTGTTCCTCAAATCTGAGAAAAGGCAAATCTCATACCATCTTCAAAAAGGAGGATCTGGGGAACTCTGGTCACCTTAATCTCAGTCCCCAGGAAGCTTCTGGAGCAAAAACCCCTGGAAAGTCACATCCAAGCACATGAAGGACAAGGATGTGATTGGGAAAGCCAGCCAAAGGCGAACTGCACCTACTCTGCAGTCACCGACTGCCTTTGAAGAAGTCTGTGGGCAAGGCGAGAGCAATGGACACTGTTCATACTTTGACTTTAGCAAGCTTTTGACCCACTCCCAAACAGTATCCCCAAATCTCAAGCATGATGTCTGCTGTATATGAAGGGTGGTTCAGTGAGAAGGTAGGAAGTGAGTGCTATCTACTCTTTGGATACTAGTACTACCCAGGACACTCAACCATGGCAACATTGCATAAGGGGTTAAAAGCCGTAGCAAGAAGGTGCTGTGCCTGGTGAGAGGATTTATTAACGTGACTCAATGGAGAATTTTAATCAAGTACATTTAAATGTCCATGGCACACAGAAGATTTGCAGCAATCATAGCCACACTGCTATTAAAAATTGAGTTGATGTATTTAACTGTAACAGTTAAATTTAATGACTTAAAGTACCTTTCTACTCAGAAAAAAATACTGGCTTAGAACAGCACTGTCAGGCTTTAGGTCTGATACATCTCAAGGTTTCTAGAAGAGGTGTGATAAGGGAAGACAATGGCCTACTGCCCAAGCTACCTGCTCAGCAAGCTGACCCTGGCTTTCTAACTGAAGCTCTAACCTTTCTCTTTGTCCAGCTGCTGAGTCTGTTCAACCAGACTCCACAGGCCAACCTCCAATTCTGGCACAGGGCTTCGGCTTCAGAGAGACATAAAAATGTGAATGAAGACAGAATGTGGATCAACAAACAGAATTTAGGCAGCAGCACTACATGTGCTGTACAAGCAGAGGCAAGGCCACCCTCTTAGTGATTTCAACTACAGGGAGCTGAAAGGTAAGTGATGTGTTCGCATTATTTCTGTAACTAAAACTAGCAGATCAGACTGATGAACAGGAAGCAAATCTGTGCAAAAATATTTACCTTTTTGCCCCCGTCACTTCTCCAGGGAAACAGATGCTTTTAGTTGAAACTTAAATAATTGGTAGAAAGAGATGGTGATGATGTCAAGCAGCTAAGAGAAATGCATTCAAATAGAGTATTTTGGACTCATCACGCAGGGACTCTGAAGAAAATTTGGAGTGCAACAGGTCCCTGGCAGCACTGTGAAGCATCCTGCTTTGTTACTCATGACCCCATAAGATCAAGTTAAAGCTTAATGAGAACTCTGTCCACAGACTGGCAGATTGGAAGCCCACTGTGACTATGCCACCTAACACCTAGTAGGTAGTTCCAAGGGGTGCCACCTCCAAGAACAGTGAGACATTCCTGGCACAAGCAAGCAGTCCACAGAAGACTTGGTTTGGATTATTCCCAAGAACAGCTCTTAACCAGAGCACCTTTCCTCTTGCTCAGCAGAAACAAGGCATTTAAATGGTTATTTTGCTAACTAGCAACATTATCATATTGCATCCAAAAGTGAAAGGCAGCCAGTTCCCAGGGCATCACTCTCTTTAACCATCTCTGCTGTTCTTCCACTGGGAGATCTGTTAACAAAAGACTTCTGTAAAAGTGTTTCCAAACAAACGGTAACTACAAATATCGTAACTGAGCTTCTGATTCCCTGAGGCCAACATGATATTTTGGTTGCACTCAATCCTGCAAACTTTAAGTAAGACACGACAAAAAAATCACATTGCAAGTATCTAATGGCACTCCTAACACTGCTCCTGAACACTGGAATACAGCAACTGGTGAATGCTGAAATGTAACATTTTCCTGCTTGTGAAGAGTTTCATGCCCCAGCATAAGCAAGTAACACAAAATATTGAGCAGCAGGTTAAACAACTAGAGCAAGCAAAAAGGTGTTCTGTGACCTGAGACCTGCAGCCAATTCTTTTACCACACTACTGACTATCAAACAAGCTGCATGTCAAATAAGCCAATCTTTTCAATACTCAGTCTGAAAGAACACAAAAGCCTGGATCAAAACTTCTGTATCAGAAAGAACAAGTTTCGCTTCTTAAAATATTAACAACACTACTAAGGACTGCACAGGCAAAGGCTACTAAGCTGTAACCGTTTCTCAACTCCATTTTAAACTGATGTTTTGAAACGCTTCATAACTTTACTCAGTGAAGAATGTATCCCTTAGCCCTTAACACTAGAAAATCCCCGGTGAAGAGGAAGGAGAACTGGACCCTGAGTTTGCAATCCCATGTGAGTTATCTGAGACTTGCAGAAGAGCTGTTGGAAGCAATGATGTTATACATACCCATCTAGTGCTGTCTTGGCCTGACTGGCTTCCTCTGACTTTTGAAAAAACTGCTCCATTCTGTCAAAACCAAAGAAGGGGAGGGGGAGGGAGAAAGAAAAGAAAAAAAAAGTAAGTTTCAGTTGAATCCCTGTTTAGGATTTCTTAACAGGACATTCAGGGGCATTTATCCAGTTAGCACTTTATAATTATGGCTGTGGTTATGCCTCTGGTCACTCAACTACAGTACTGAATGTGAAGTCATAAACAACCGCTCTGGCTTACTGTATTTAGAAGGACAATGCAAGCCTTGGGGCCTTACAGACATGCAAAGATTGCATGATCAGGCCTCAGGTTTCTAAGTCAATGTGCCAGTAAATGTAAAATAGGAAAATGACAAACACAAAACACTGTTAGGCAAACACCACTGGCGGAAAGACAGCAGGACTATGCCTCAGTCTTTCCAGATGTAACCCTAGAGAATTAAATTTCAAAGAGAGTATATTCGTGTCATAAAGCCAAGGCGGTTAGTGGCTCAGCTTTTAGCTTTTAAGAACTGTTTAGAATTTCTCATTCACAGCCTTCTTGTTTACAGTCAGAAGCGATAAGAAAGAAGCCAAAGGTTGTGGTACCACCTAGCACTAAGGCTGCCTGCATTTATTAAGAATGTCCTCACCAAAAGAAAACAAACTCAGGAAACATGATACCTACGCGGTTCTTCTGTAAAAATAAAATGAAGGCATGCAGTTGCAAGGAGTTCCTTTGTTGAATCTGCATTGCAACTGTCAACTATGAAGCCATCAAAAAAACAGAGTATTTCATTTATAGTAGCATTCACCTCTTTTTCCATTACAGAAAATCACACTGAGCTAAACATTCCACAGGTGGTATAAAAGCAGGATTTAATCCATAACATCTAGAAAATTATGAACGCTGAATCACAAAGCACTAAGACAACTGCAGAAAAAGCTGGGTTTTCTTTTAAAAACACCACTGTTGAAAAACCTGCAACCAATAAATGCTGCCTTCCTTGTTCCTTCAGAAAAGCCCTAAGACAACACCTGGTTTGACTTCACTCTCAATAAAAGTCACATAACAAGAGTAGGAAGGCTTGTGAAGATTAAAAGTCTCGGTGGCTCAAACCCACAGCTGAGAACACATTTTAGAATTAATGGGATGCCTCTGCCTGACATAATGACTTCAATATCAGGCTGACAATTGCGATCTGATTGTACGCCTGCCACCAGAAACCTGCTCAGGCTACCTCGCTGCTTCATGTCAATACTATAGGAATTGCTAGCCATATGAGGGAAGTTTGGGGCTGCCGTTAATGCTGCTAAAGGACTCTGAAGAGAGGAGGCATTCCACAAAAGCAAGCCCGTGCAGGACAGCTCTCTCTCACCTTCTGCGATAGGTAGAACTTGTAATAGTACAACTGGAAGAGGAGGAAAACCAGGCTTGTCAGAGAAAGGAGCGCCAGGACCACGTTCTTATTGATTTTCTGCATTAGTCTTCGGGGCGCTCTCGATCACCGCCTGGAAGCAGCGCGGCGTCGCTCATCTTCTCCG